TCTGATTAATCTAACTTCAAGTTTCTAATTAATCTTGAATGTCAATTCCTAACCGACTAGGACAAAATCTAATTTCTCAGTCCTTTCCTATGTCCATTCCCAATTTTTTTATTCAATATAAATATTTTTACTTGTGTCCATTACTGAGTGTTTGTGACCTTTGTCAAATAATCGTGCAGTTGTCTAAATCGTGAGGGCGCCACACCACCAGGACAACCCATCAAATGTTTGACGACAAAGATGAAGAATCATACATACAATTCCATTTGCTGTTCGGAACATATGTGCAATGATATTCTTGTCCCGTTGGAAACTAGATCAGAAGGTGCCTAAGTAGATGATGATGATGGTGGTGATGATGAAAGCTTCTCTCTTTTTATACCCGAATCGAAAAGATCATTAAATTCTCGCGAGAGATCAGAATTTGGATAAAACTTGCTACTTGGGGAAAAAATGATCCAAACTGGTTATCAAATTTCTTTCTTGTTCTATTGGTTTGAGAACAACTAAAGGGTCGTTCACTCTTTGAATGCCAAGCTCCTAAATAAATTGATCATCCCCTGTATGATCATTAGGGCGGGTTGATCTAAAAGTCGCTTAGGCACAATGTTTTTTGGATACTAGGGATCAAAATAAGTTACTTTGCTGAAGAAACAATATCTCTAAAATGAATTCTGATGTCCCGTACATTGACCCAACGATAAGGGCTGGGATTTGAAAAATTCCGTTTTAACCCATTTAGAGTGCTCCAATTGCGTCCAAATGTATAACAAAACCTTAACTAATTTCAAAAGGCTAATCTATGCATGCCCATCGTTCAACCCCTGAGACCTACCCTTAGAGATCTCCCATACAAAAATTGCAAAAAAACATTGTTGTTGATATTTTACTCAGCAAAAAATGTTTATTTATCCATTTTTTTTGGATAATAATTCATACATACACAAACTTTTTCTTAAAAAAAATATTAAAATTTTTTAGACGACATTAGAGAGCTTTGCAAAATTTTCTAAACTTGAAACCAAAAAAAACTTAAAGCAATAATTTATAAGTTTTACACAGTTTTATTTACATATGTTAAGATTAAATAAATTTTATAGTAAAAATAAATCGCTGATTTTTGTCATGTTGAAGTACCAAAAATGATGCAATTTTTGTATGGGGGACCTCTAAGGGGCGGTTCCAGGGGGTGAATCATGGTCATGGGGTAGATCCAAAGTTAGTGGGGGTCGATTATATAATCTATTCTTCATACATTTGGACACTATTGAGCCGCTCTAAATGAGCCAAAACAAGATTTTTCAAAATTTGATCAAGTCTTTGGGTCAATGCACGGGACATCAGAATTCATTTTAGAGATATGGTTTCTTTGGCAAAATATCTTATTTTGATCTCTAGTATCCGAACACCATATGAGCCTAAAAGATTTTTTTACCCATACAAATTGACCCGCCCTAATGACCATTCGCTTGAAAGCATTCACCACGATTTTAATATATTTAAATTTTTCATTAATGCGGTGATTTTTTTTAATTTTTTTACAATAATTTTTATTACTATATCTACATTAAACATTTGATTGTGAGACGTTAGCGTTCCGTTATCGTTTAGTACGAGAGCCAATGACAAGCAATAGGTCGCAAGTAAATTAATCTATCAGTAACAATTAGCTCTAAATTTTCTTTTTCATTTTTATTTGCTTTTAAATAAAATCTTCTAGTTAAAACTGAGTTTAAATATTTTTTTTATAAATATCTTTCATATATATAGAGTGAGCACAAGATTGTGTAACTTTTGAAAAATACTGATGTTTTTTTTAAATTTATATAAGATATGATACTTTTTATACATTTTATTTTAGTCACAAAGAATAAATAAAGTTATAACTATTAAATTCATCAACTATTAGTGAAAAATTTAAGTTCAGATTTTCGAATCGTCAAAAGATAATTTTAATTGTGTTGCAAAAAATCGCTGGCTCTATCTAAAATAGTTCTTCATATTTCTGATTTATTTATTTCATTATTGGTAGAAAAGTTCAACTTGATATCTTATATTTATTTTTTCCTAAATAATAATTAATTTTGACATTTTTGCAAAAATCCTTGGCTCTCTGGTCTAAAATAGGTCCGTACTAATATGACTTTTTCGATTCGGGTATGTCGATGATACTTTTCCTGAAAATTGGTTTTAGAGTTGAGGTCGCTTCTTGTAGATGCTTTGTAACCTATCCTTCTTGCTTTTACGATCTTCAATTATTTTCTTTACCTAAAACACTATTATTTTATTCTACAATTATTTTTGTTTAATATTTATGTAACTATTTTGTATGTAGAAGGTTTTGTTAGTTTCATAGATGACTTCACCTAAATGAATTCAAAATTGCACATCCATTGACTATTTTATAATTTAAATAAGAGAATCACAGCTTATCTGAGAATAAACAAATTATTTAGTCTTTTCTCTTTTGTCTTAAAATTAAAACAATTAAAAAATTGTTTTTGCTAATAGAATAGAACTTAGTGTTTTTGCATTATTTTTCACACAACCTATCAATTTTAATTGATTGGATTTAAGGTTATTAAAGATAACCTAAAATAGTACTAAATTATTTTCCTATACAAACACATGTTTCCAAAAATAGTACTGAATGATTTTCCTTTTCTGGTGGCTTTTTGGTCCAAAACTAAGTATTTAACACTTTCAAATCCGCAAATAACTAAAATAAAAATCAGCTTATACATTTTCTATTATTTTTCCTTCTGTTGCTTAAATGGCTGTTGTCTTGTGTGTATGTCGATGTTTATGAGAGGTTTATTTCTGTAGGACACATTAGAAAGTTAAATTGTACAGTAATAATATCTATGTGATTAATATTATTTTAATCTTAGAGTAGTAGAGTCTTTGGTTGTATGTATTAGAATATGCATTAGAAAGCGGATTGAATTTATGCAAAATTTATTTGCAAAATTATCTGTGGCGGAAGAGATATATTTATTTATTTATTTATATATTTGAAATTTGCTAACTTCATGATTAAATTAGTTTAATTAATGATTTTGAATTTATTTTTCAATAAATTAGAAATATATATATATCTACCATCCCAAGTAAGGTATGGTCGAATTTTGGAAAAAATGTCTTAAGTCGCCATGTTAACTATTTCTCAGAAAATAGTTATTACATTGCAAAAATATCAATTAAAAACAATACTTACATATATCATAAACGATATATATATATATATATATATATATATATATATACATATCATATTTATATTTACTTTTTTGCTGCCAAATGTAATGTTCCGAGATATTTTTAAATAGCTACGTATTTGTTATTTAATAACAACGGGTCACCTTTAAACCGCAAATTACATCATGAAGTTCATTTAAAAATAATATTTTTAGAACGTTTAAATTTTTACTATTGGTCCTTTATTTGAAATAGCTCTTTGGCTTTGTTTTGTCAATTTGGATGCATAAAAATGGCATAATTGTATGGAATTTAGCACCGAAAAAATTTCAAAAATTTTAAAAAAGTTTTTTAGATGTAACTTAGAGAACAAATGAATGGGTTTTATTCAAAATTCGACGCTTTACAGAACAAATTATAAAAAACCTGTTTTGTAGAGCGTTCGAGTTTTCAATAAAGAATGACACGAACTTTTAATTCGCTTGTCGCAAAGTTATACTTAAAAAAAACATTTTTAAAATTTTCAAAATTTTTTTCATGCTTTTTCCATACGAAGTTTGATTGAATTGCGCTCTATCTAAACGTTAATATTAAGAGCTAAAACTTTCAGAGAATTATTTTTTATCAATTTGAAACCATTTGAGCCCATGGGAGCAAGGAAATTCGAAAATGACCACATTAAGGACCACCCTTATATATATATATATATATATATATATATATATATATATATCTACCGATATAGTCGAATGATTTCTATTTGAGTCTCATAAATCATTACATCTGTCGTCTTCCGTCGAAGATAATTTAGTTCTATTTCGTGTTCTCGTATTAATATCGAGGCGAGTCTTGCCAAAATAACGTCTTCTTTCCGACCAAGGAAAAACAAAATCTTGTTATGTAAAATCACTGCTGACAACCAGTCAGTATGAATCATTTTCGAATGAAAATGGATCGGAAAATTCTTTGGGAAAACTATTGTCACATTTCGGGTGACGCGCTTTTTGGGTAATATGTAGAGACTATATAAGGGAAAAAGTTGTGTAGAAAAATGGCATGGTTTTGATCTTTTTTGAACTGATTTGTGGGTTTTGCAAATTTTTATTTTTAAGATGAGGTAACAGTTAACTGACTGTAGTAAACCTTTGAATTTTTTAATAAATGAAAATAGATAAAAAAAAGCGTTACAAAAAGGCACTAGAAACTTCGTCTGCGTAGACGTATTTTTTGGTGAAAATTATAAGGACAAGAAAGTGTGATGAAAATATGTATGAATACTATTTTGTGATTTTGTACAACTCGAGATTTTATATTGAACTAGTTTTAATATTTTATTCAATGATTAAAAATGAATAGAAAAAATATTTAGGAAAACTCAAGTCACAAATTGGTTGACTTCCTTCTTCTCTATATTAATCGAATATAATTCTCTTTTTTTGATAACATCCATTAATTTGCTAAATTTATATAATTATTTTTTAGCAAATAAAATTGTTGTAAGCAAATAACTTTGTAAATATTTGGTTATTCTAATTCAACCATTACTTTTTATTTAAACAAACGTCTCAAAGAGGTTATAATTTACCTTAAAACATTAAAAAAAAAAACAATTTGTATTATTTCTTGTCCTGCAGACAAATGATATGCTACTGAATTATATTATGTGACATTTAAATTACTAATTTTTGCCAAAAGCAAATACACTAATGAATAAACATTAATTACTAATCGAATTCATTTGACTGACAAAATGTTTGCGCTTTTGATCTGCAATTTATGCGTCGGTAATTAATTTTGGCATTTTATAGATCCGTATATAGCCTTTTGTACAATTTGCGTTTTATTATTCATATTTTAATTTAATAAAATAAAACTGTGATTAAAATTTTTGATTAACAATTGCAACCGCATATACGCAGTTTGAATTTTATTATTCACGAATCATTTTTTAATCAATTTGCCACGTGCATTAAAAAAATAGTTTGTCAGGGTAAAATAGTTTTATTATTTTGTTATACTTTTTCAAAGTAGTTGACAAAATTTGATTAATGTGTGAAACTTACATAGCAATTAGTCGAAGGAAGAAAATTATACTCTTTGGACCAATTATATAATATTTTTGTGTAA